TACCACCCACGAAACCAGTGCCACCCCTCCTCCTAAGACTGCCCTAGAAAAAAAAATGATGAATGACTTAGAGAACCATTTGTTTAAAAATTGAGGCCTTCTCCACAACTTTCAGCTGGGCAAAAATTCCCATCAAGGTTATCCCTATGACTGTGCATTATCCTATCCACAATTCCCCAGGTAGATTAGTGCTTGGGTAAGATACCAACACCCATTTCTTTCAGTAAATTACATCTGAATTTTCAAGTCTGAAAATGTGTACAGGAAATATATATAGATGTATGTATATATATTTAAATTTCTGCTTTATAAACCCACAAAATCCAGATCTACATGTAGGCACCAAACCACTTTCAAAATTAATATTCCATCTACTCCACTGGAGGGGTTGTTGCTGTTAAGTGCCTTCGAGTCAGTTCTGACCCATAGTGACCCTATGGTTTCCAAGAGGTGGCCAGTAAGCTGAAACCACCGACCTTGTGGATCAAACTGACTTTGCAGTTCAGTGCACTAACGCACAGCACCATTGTTGTTGTTGTTGTTAAGTGCCATTGAGTCGATCCCAACCCATAGTGACCCTGTGTAGGGTTTCCGAGAAGCAGCTGGTGAGCTTGAACCGCCAACCTTGCAGTTCAAATGGCTTTGCAGTCTGACGCATTAACTCACAGCACCATAGAGAATGATAAATCTTAGCTAAAACAATTTAAAAGAACAAAAGTATAAAATGTGATGGTGCCTCCCCAGTCCAACACTGGCAGACTAGCATCATAGCACTTGTAATTACATTAGCCTTAGTGCTCACTACAGCATCTCAAAAAGATGATTTACTCAGCCTCAGGCTTAAGTGTTTCTGATCACTGAAGGGGGTTGGTGGGAAGGCCATTGGTTCTGTCTCAGAGTCTACAAAAGGTTTCAAAGGTTGTGGACTCCAGATGAAGTCATACACATGGCCACCGAAACACACTGACAGGGCTTGAAAAAGATGTTCAACCACAAATTCAAATCTGATCCATCCATGAATCTTTATGCCTATAAAGGCACTATGATTTGATGTTCATTTTGAATCCTGAAAATTATAAATGCTAGTAAACAGCACAGTTTAGACAGTTTTAAATTTTTATGTGTTGATCATGTTGATTTATTATATGTAAACATTTCTAATTTGCCACAATTTCCCCTCATTTTTGTCTTTCTTTATTTAAAAAAAAAAAAAATACACTAAGAATCTCAAAAGACCCTGGAAGCAACGAATGCCTTGCTCAACCCCAAAAAACCCTTCCTTTCATCTCTGGACAAAAGCCGGTTCCTTCATCAGTGTGCTGAATGTCAGAAAGTTCCTCTTTCGATAAGGAAGTGAAATCACCTCCCTGAGAGTTTCACCATGGTCTTGAGTTAGCTCTCCAGGGCTACCTGGAACAGGTGTGCACCTTCTGGCCCCTGAGTGCCTTTCTGAGACCCTCCTCTGGCCTCCTTCCCCAGTTGTCAGACAGGCAGGCAACACCCTCAGAAAGAGCCCAGTCCTGACATTTGGTGCACCTCTGAGCTATCACATAAATGTGCTTGACTTGTCTCCAGTGCTTAGTTAAACACAGGGTAGGATACATATGCTAGAAGAGGCCCAGACTTTACAACTGGAGTAGAAAACGCCAAGCCTTTTTGGAACCAAGCCTGAGTTTAAGTTACCCCGTGCTCTCATCTTCCCAGGACTCAGCTCCATCCTCAGTGGAGGGGCCTCCCATCCTGAGATGCACTTATGAAAAGCTCAAAGGGTAGGCACTAATGTCCAGGGAGAAGCTGCTAGTGCACTGCCCAAGACCAGGCAGGACATGACTAATGGTCTGTCTGGTTGGATCAGTAAGACTCAGGCAAAGAAGGGGACAAAGCCATCAGAGAGCAGTCAGTTACAGCTCATAAAGAGCCTTTATGCACACAGGTGTCCCAGTCTCAGGGCAGATATAACCCCACTTCAAGACACCTGCCACATGGTGAAAAGGAGCTAGGTATTTACCCCAATTTGTTCCCTCTGCTAGGTGCCCTTATACAGTAAGCCACTAAAACAACTGAAATTGCCTGTCCTTCTCAGAGAGAGCAGGAGGAGGAAGAGACTGACCAACAGGAAAAAGAAAGGTCATCATGCCATTGAAAGCCCACCACAATTGCCCCCTAGATTCTTCCCAGGGGACCTCCATAGAAACTTTACCCAGAATAGCTGCTACATTGCCTCCACAATCATTCCCATCCATCTCTGATTGTCTATTCACATTCCATCCACCCTTCTCAAGTATTCCTCTACCAGGATGCCTTCCCTCCCCTCTTTCCTTTTCCCTTTGAAGATGCATGATTCTTTTCGGGTCTCCTCCCTTAGTGGACCTTTCTGTGGCCATATTTCCCCCTCCCCCAAGTCTATAGGTCCTCAGGCACTCACTGTGTATTTGCTGATTGATCATGATGGAAGAACATAGGATGGGGACTGAAGGAACTTCTGAGTCTAGCCACCAGTGGTCTATGGGGTAACTTGGAGAAAGGGCCTCTCCATCTTCAGTCTCGTTTTCCCTTGCAGGACATACAGTGGATTGATAAATAATCTCCATGAATTCTGCTAACACTGAATTCTAGGCTTATTAAGATGCAGCAGTCATGGCTCCCATCAGCTAGGCTTTCATCCTAAAGGATCCAGCATAATGCCTGGTACACAGCAGACAGTCAATATGGTGTATGTTGTTGTTGTTAAGTGCTGCTAAGTCAGTTCTGACTCATATGGATCTTGTACAGGGAGAGGAATCGCTGGTGGGTTTAAACCACTGAGCCTGTCATTAGCAGCCAAGTGCTTATCCTACAGCACTTCACCAGGACTATCAATATGGTTCTTGAAGCAACCAGACTCTGGGAAAAAATTGATCCAGATGCCCACAAACATCTCCCCGCCCCCCCCCCCATCACCTTTTCCACCACTGGCCATTGGCCCTCTGGGTTAGCACCATGACATAGCTCAGAGTTCCATTCGAATCCCTCAATAAGAAGGTTGTTCAGGTGCTGAGCAGGCAAAAAAACTGATAAAGTATCTCTCCAATGATCTTATTTATTCCCTGGCTAAATAGGTTCTCTCCCTCAGGAAATTAGAAAAGGGCCCATATATCTAGTCCAGGCTGGTGGGAATGTATTAGGACTACGTGCAAGCTGAAGCAGGGAGAGGAGGATCCGGGTAAGAAGCTGAGGGGAACCTCCTGTACTGTTGGTTCACATAAGGCCTTGAGCTCCTTGAGATGCCCAGAATGCCACTCTTAATTAAACCGGCTGTGGTCTCTTTCTGCGACTTCTAACAAACTTAAAGCCTGTATATGACATTGTCCTACCTTCCCTCAGGTTGGGGGACCATGTGAAGTGGAAAGCCCCTGGGAGGGCTAGGCAGAGCCCACTGAGTTCCAAAGCAAACACTGTGAGTCAGCCCTGGAGGGCACTGCCTCCCTTTTCTAGACAGTACCCCTTCAGAAAGAGGAGTCAGCATGAGGCCATAGCCACCATCCAGATGTCATGGAGAGGGCGCTGGGACTTTGCTGAAAAGTATTTGTTTTATTTTTAGCATTCCCCTAATCTGATGCTGTTACTTCATGACTATTTCCCCCTAAAGTCAAAATCAGGGAAGGTCTGGCCGTCTGTTGCTCCAGAGTGAGACTTGGTGGCCAGAAAGTAAGGTTCCTGACAGACAAACTGAAGACCCGCTAGCACAGGTGAATTTGTATCATTAAAGGGGAGAACAACTCTCTTGAGTGTTTGCCTCCCTCTGTCTGGTGTCCTCCTTGCTTGTGGTTCTGGTGGGCCTCGGAGACTGTAAGCTCCTCTCCAAGGGATACAGTGCAAAGACAGACTTGGGGGATTCTAGGGTGCCAAGGTCTCCTGGCTTCCTGAAGGAAGGGAATTCACACGTTTCTGTCATTTTGTCTTGGGCAGCGCCTACACCCAACGCTTTCATTTTTCTCACAAGTGACTGTCAGCAGATTCATTCCCCAATTTCTTCACCAACCCCGATGCAGCAGAGACATCTATCCTTGTCCTCTACTCTGCGGCCCTGCCTGGCTACTCCCTTCTATTTGGATGCGGATTTCCCTGGGTTTCTGTGGCACTGCATTTCGTAAATTTTACCCGACAGCGTTGTTCCATATGCACCTTGGCAAGTGTTCCACGAACATAATCTGTTGTGTCCCACTTTACAGATCGGAAAACTGAGGCTCGGAGAGGTTAAGTCACGCATCCACCTAGTAGCTGGAGAGGGGCTGCGAACCATGCTCCCAGTCAGCCAGAGGTTTCATCAACTGCCAGAGCAGCTCACACTCCTTTGCCTGTGCCCCGCCTCCCCATCCCCACCCCAGCGAGAGGCGTCAGGTCCGCCCTCGGAGGAGTGTGCCTTGGCCGCTAATCGCCCACCGCCCCCGACTCCGTTTCACTGCCTAGAGACGCCCAGGCGGATTGAGCCCAGAGACAGCTCTCAGGGCCCCGCGGCGCCGCCGATTGGCCGGCGGTAATTACGGGCACGCTCCGGGAGGGGGGAGGGGCGAGGATTCCGCCCCCCCGCGAGCATAAATTATGCAAATTCCAGGGAGCCGCACGGGGCTGACCTGCCGCCTTGTTCCTTTCATGGGGGCTGCCGCGGGGGCGGAGGTGGCAAGGGAGGGGGACGCCCATTGTTGCTCTGGGTACTTAAGGGGTCCTGAGGCCAGTCGTGTGCCACAATCGGTGCTCACACGAGCTGATCTGATAGCCCGCAAGATCACTCGGGAGACCGGCCGGGCGCGTGGCCCCTGCAGGCGAGGCAAGGAAGCGAGGCCAACTTCCCTGTGCATCCCCTGCGCCTTTTCAAGCTGTCGCGCCCGCAGCGGGCACACAGTAGTTCGGGTCTTTCGGAACGTAAGTGAGCCCCGTCGGCCCTGCCTTCAGCCCGGGCTCCTGCCCTCTAAGCATCCTCCTATCTATCCTTGCGTACAGAGGTCCTGCACTGCGTAAAGATGCCTGCCTCTCTGGAAACCTGCCTCTCCGACCTCGAATGCTCTACCAGCAGCAGCAGTAGCGATCTGTCTGGCTTCCTCACCGACGAGGAAGACTGTGCCAGGCTCCAGCCGCCAGCTTCCGCCTCGGGACCGCCCGCGCCGCCCCGCAGAGGTGTGTCCGGGGTTCCCGTGGCGCCCGATGTTCCAGTGGCTCAAGAAGACGATCAGGAGAAGCGGAGGCGCCGGGGTCGGGCGCGAGTGCGCTCTGAGGCGCTGATGCACTCGTTGCGCAGGAGCCGGCGCGTCAAAGCCAACGATCGCGAGCGCAACCGCATGCACAACTTAAATGCAGCGTTGGACGCTCTGCGCAGCGTGCTGCCCTCCTTCCCCGACGACACCAAGCTCACCAAGATCGAGACGCTGCGCTTCGCCTACAACTACATCTGGGCTCTGGCCGAGACCCTGCGCCTAGCTGACCAGGGGTTGCCAGGAGGCAGTGCCCGGGAGCGCCTCCTGCCGCCTCAGTGTGTCCCCTGCCTGCCAGGGCCTCCGAGCCCAGCCAGTGACGCCGAGTCCTGGGGCTCCAGTGCTGCAGCCACATCGCCACTCTCCGATCCCAGTAGCCCCGCCGCTTCCGAAGACTTCGCCTACGGCCCTGGCGATCCCCTTTTCTCCTTCCCTGGTTTGTCCAAAGACTTACTCCACACGACACCCTGTTTCGTCCCCTACCACTAGACCCGTTGTGTTGTGGACACCATTTCCTTCCCCCTTTCTAGTCAACTGTCAGTAAACAGGGCTCCCACTGTGGCCTACGGGACCCCCACTCGAGGCAGAGGGAGGAGGCGGGAGCTTTAAAGGGATGGAGGATACCTGAGCCTCTGGTTAGGTCACTGCACCCTCGCCACCACCGCTGCCCCTTGCTTGGTCTGTTTCTCCAGTCCTCAGCCCTGGGCCCCTCTTGCCCGCCCCTAGACGGCCTTTCCTTTTGCACTTTCTAAACTCCACAAAACCTCCTTTGTGGCTGGCTCAGAGCTGACCCCAGCCACCACTTCAGTGTGATTTAGAAAAAGGACAGATCAGCCCCTGAAGAAGAGGTGAAAAGTCAATTTTACAATTTGTAGAACTCTAATGAAGAAAAACGAGCATGAAAATTCGGTTTGAGCCGGCTGACAATACAATGAAAAGGCTTAAAAAGGAGAGACAAGGAGTGGGCTTCATGCATTATGGATTCTGTGCCTCACCACTGCAGGCTCGCTCTAGGAAGAGCCCGAGAGACTGTTGCGTAGCTATTCAGGCCCTGGGCTGGAGAGTACTTTAATTTATTCAAGATGCTTCATTCATATGAAAATGTATTTTTGTACATAAAGAGTTTATTCTATTATTATGAACTATCAAAGTTTACATTTTTGTACTGCAGATGCTTCATGTAAATAAAAACTAAAGAAAAACAAAATGAAACAAAAGTTTCTTGCCTAATGTAGATGTCTCCCTGGGACTTTTCTACTTTCACCCACTCTACCCCCTCACCCACCCCCATCCAACCACTAAAGTGAAACACTATCCCTAACCCACCGCCAAACCCTCCAATCCTGTTTCAAAAACAATTTTAAAAAACACGCACCTGATTTTCACCAAGAAACGGATAAAGGCAGACCAAGGCATTTGGGGTCCATCATTTCCTTTCACCTTGTAAGCACAAGGGAGATCTTTCAGGCTCCCCATAAGCCAATTAAGACTTTTTAGTGCGGAATTAGCCTCGGATAGGCAGCTACCTGTAGAGGTAGGGGCGGTGGGAGAGTCTTTCTTTTAAGGAACTCCACATCAGCTGGCTCTGTGTTTCAAAGAGAGGGGATTAAAAAGATCAATACAGTGTGACCACTGGCTAGGAAGTCCCAGTGACAGGTGGGCCCAGGCTGGGCAAGCAGAAGGGTCCACTCTTATAACAGCCTATTTAGGGGAGGGGAAAATTGATTTGTAAACAATGCCTCCAAACTGTGGTCCATTGAGGAGAGGTTCACCCTGGCTGTGAGACTCAGGATGAATTACGCTGGTGTGGTGTCCCTGGGTGGGGTATGCAGCTGTCTAAAATTGTGTGCTAGGGTGCCTGCACTCCCACACACACACACACACACTTATAGGGCCTACACTGGAAGGAAGGTGCATGCTGAGAACCCCAGTGCCTGACTTGTTCAACCAATCCTTAGGGGCAATCATCAAAGCTTTCATTTGCTGCCAGAGAAATCAGCCATCCAAACTCAATGGGAATTTTTTCTGGCTACACTATGTTTATCTGTTGTCTGACAATTACCTAACAACACTGGCCAGTACCAGTCTTTGTTTTAAATTTCAGAATGTGGATAATTACAGGCAACAATTTCTAAAATGCTGTTACTGCCTGCTGGCAAGTTATCTCATGTTCTGATTTTTTTTTCCCACTGAGCTCCCCCCCACCCCCCCGTTTTCCTGCATATCGTTAAGTGGGGGTGGTAGGATTAAGCTCAAGGAAATGGCATTCTGTAGCATTAGAGAAATTATATCCACATAGGAGATGAACAGAAGCGGAAGACTCAAAGTCAGACCACTAGCATACTTCCTTCTCACAGCCTAGTGAGTTGTATCTACAGATGCATAGGTTGGATAAATCCTTGGGCAAGTAGTCCTTCAGATAAAAAAGCATCCTTTGCTGAAAGCTGGATACCTTCTCTTACTGACTCTAGAGTAAAGACAAGGAGGCCTCGCAAGAAAAGCTTCTAAAGTTTTGAGGGCTCAAAACGGAATTGCTTATGTTGAAAGTGCCCAGGGGAAAAAAAAAGTTGAATTATTGAATGACACCACCCAGACCATGCCTCTCCCTCCGCTTCCTATTGTGTATCACAGAATTAAATTAATTTTCTCTACTAGGAGAAGAAGAATAAGGAGCTCTGGTAGCGTAGTGGTTACGAATTGGTCAGCAGTTCAAAATTACCAGTGGTTCCGCGGGAGAAAGATGAGGCGTTCTGCTCCCGTAAAGATTTACAGCCTCGGAAACCCTGTGCAGGGTCACTATGAGTTGTAAGCGACTCCACGGTACTTACCAACAACCAGGAGAAGAATATTGAAAGTGCCATGGGCTGCCAAAAGAACCAATAGATCCGTTTAGGAAGAAGTGCAGCCAGAGTGCTCCGTGGAGGCCAAGATGGCCAAACTACGTCTCTCATACTTTGGACATGTTGTCAGTAGGGACCAGTCACTGGAGAAGGATATCATGTTTGGTAAGATGGAGGGTCAGAGAAAAAGAGGAAGATCCCCCAGCAAGATGGAATGGCCAAGTGGCAGCATCGATGGACTCAAGCGGGGCAACAATAGTGAAGTTGGCCCAGCATCAGGCAGTGTTTCGTTCTGCTGTGCATAAGGTTGCTATGGGTCGGTACCAACTCAATGGCTCCTAACAACAACAACAACAACAACTAGGTTTGAGTTTTCCTACTGCAAAAGACGCAAACAACTTGCATCGAATTTTCTGCTTGCCTGGTGTGGCGCTGTGGGTTAATGCACTGGACTGCAAGGTTGGTTTGAACCTTAAGGTTGGCCTCACCAGTTGCTTCTTGGAAACCCTATGTGTGGTCACTATGAGTTGGAAGCAACTCAATGGCACTTAACAAAAACAAGAAGCATAGCATGGACTTCTGGTGTGGCACTATAGGATCAGTACTGGACTGCGAACAGTAAGGTCAATGGTTCAAACCCACAGCTGCTCTTAGGAATCCCTATACAGGGTCACTAAGAGTCGTAATTGACTCAGTAGCACTTAAAACAACAAAGCATAGCACGCTTGGAGGTGTGTGGGAGAGAGGGGAGGGTGGAGAGGGACAGATTACCTAACAAGCAAGATAAGCACACACTTGTTGTTGTTAAGTGCCACTGAGTCCATTCGACCCATAGTGTCCCTGTGTGGCATTTCCTAGGAGCGGCTGGTGAGCTTGAACCACCGACCTTGTGGTTCAAACCAACTTTGCAGTCAAGCGCATTAACCCACTACACCACATTAGGACTACAAACTTGTGCTTACTTACTAATCTTTTCTGAACAGTTCTGTATGTAAATGAAAAGCATCTGAAACTGTTCTGTACAGATTAGTAAGTAAGCACAAGCAAACCCATGCTTACCTTGCTTATGGGTACTTCATCCCAGCCAGGGATTGTAAATTTGAAAACAAGCTTTGATTCTGTAGGAAGGTGTTTCGGGGTTGGAACAGTGATAGGTGCCAGCCATACCTAGAAGCAGAATCTTTGATTTGGCGAAATTGTTGACTACAGATCTGTAAGCAAGCACACATTTACCTTACTTATAGGGTAATCTGACACCTCTTGGAAGTGACTCCCTCCAGCTTTCTGAGGAGCTCAGGATGGGTTTGCAAGAAGAGCAGGTCTCATTGGGTCCTCTGTTCAGGTGTAATGTAGATACACATGTCTGTGACAAAGAAAGATAACAGTCCATTGTGTTTATCATTGTTCATAACCCTTGGGGAAACCACCTCCAAATACTCCAGGGCATCCTGGAGCTTTGGCTCATACACTTGCCTGTAGACCACTTTGAAGACAGGGAAACTTCATCACCACTGCCATGGATTGAATTGTACTCCCCCAAATATATGCCAACTAGGCCCGGCCAGGATTTCCAGGATGCTGTGATTATCCTGCATTTTGTGATGTATTATAAATCATAACCTCTGCCTGTGGCTAATGAGGCAGAATTGTTGTTGTTAGGTGCCGTTAAGTCTGTTTCGACTCACAGTAACACCGTATAGGTTTCTGAGGAGCGGCTGATGTGTTTGAACCACCAACTTTGCAGTTAGTAGTCCAATCAAGTGCTTACCCTACAGCATCATTTGAGCATTGCTGTTGTTAAGCGCCATCGAGTCGGTTCCGACTCATAGCAACCCTGTATAGGTTTTCCAAGGAGCAGCTGGTGGGTTTGAACTGCTGACTTTGTGGTTCAAAGTCCAGTGCTGAACCTACAACACCACACCAGGAGCCCTATGTGAGGATCTTTGCTGTTGTTGTTGTTAAGTGTTGAGTCAGTTCTGATCCATAGTGACCCTGTATAGGGTTTTCAAGGAGTGACTGGTAAGTTTGAACCACCAACCCTGTGGTTCAAACTAATTTTGAGGCTGCATTCTTATACAACAGCACCACACCAGGATTTCTATATGAAAGTTGTTGTTGTTATTAAGTGCTGTTGAGTCGGCTCCAACTCATAGCTACCCTGCATAGATTTTCCAAGGAGCAGCTGGTGGTTCAAATCAACCTTGTGGTTCAAATCAATCTTAAGATCCAGTGCTTATCCAGCAACACCACACCTGGACTTACTAATCTTACAAGAGATAAAAGGAGAAAAAATTGAGCCAGCTAGGGGTCCTCAGTACCACCAAGAAAAAAAAGAACCTGGAGCCGAACATGTCTATTGTTTCAGGGACCCCTTTGCTGAGAACCTGCTAGACCCAGGGAAGGACTGATGCCAAGACACATGGACAGCTCCAAGGAATGCCAGACCCGCAGATGTTGAAAGGAGATAAGGACCAGAGCTGACATAGAGAGAAAACCTTCCCACAGAGCTGGTTCCCCAAATTCAGACTTCTAGCTTCCAAAACTGTGGGAGAATACATTTCTGTTTATTATTTGTGGTACTTATGGTATAACAACACTATGTAAGACAACCACCAAAGAAATGCAAACCTTATTCCCAACAATGTCACC